GGGGGGGGGGGGGCCACGGCTCGGCCCCACGCAGCCTGCTCGTCCCAGACGTCTCTCTCTCTGGGCTTCCCAGATGGGGTAGGAGTAGATTTGAGTGGGGCATGTCCCTCGACAGGAGGAATATTCAACAATGGTCAAAACAATAGTCCGGGGGCGTTTTTCTCGGCTATTCTTGACTACGTTTGAGCATTTTGTGCTATTCTTTATTTTTCCTCCAAAATCCGCCTGTAGGAGGGCATGCTCGACCAAAGAGTAGATGGGGTCGGAGGATCGCGTCGCATCGCCGATGCGGCGTGATGCGGGGTCACACTGTCTCCACGCCGACGTCGCCGATGCGGCGCCGACGTCGCCGAAGCAGTGCCGATGCGGATGCATCGTTGATGCACCAGCGATGCGGCGCGATCCTCCGACCCCATCTACTCCGACCCCATCTGGGAGGCCTCTAATCTCGGGGAGAAAAGTGGAGAGGGGGGCGGGTCCAGCTGGGTGCGCTCGCGCCATACCTGCCGTCCTCCCCTTCCCACCCATCCCTTCCCGCTGCGCTGAGGTTTGTTCTTCCCCATCCGCGCACAAGTATCATAGCAGACCAGGAACTCCCCGCGGATGAGCATGAGGAAAAGGAGGATAAGGAAGGAGGATAAGGAAGGAGGATGAGGAGGAGGGGACGACGAGGACGAACAGCAGTAGCGGAAACTGGAGTAGAAGGAGCGGGAGGAGCAGGGGGACCAGGGGATTGCGGAGGAGCGGAACGGAGGGGGGCGACGACGATGAGGAAGGACTCGGATCCAGAAATCCACGCTGATGCGACAGCCCCTTTCTGGACGATGGGGGCAAAGCGACGGTCCTAATACCCTCGTCAAAATTTAACCTTGAAAATGGCGATCACGCCCCTGCTATGTCGGCGCGCCCTTCAATGTCGATAGACGCTCCTCCAATGTCGGGGCCAGGGCAAAGGTGGTCTGACCGGGAACGACTCCGAAGTTCGATGATGACCGACATTGGAGGGGCGGCGCATACAAGTACCTCGCAGTCATCGCTACTCTGTCCAGTATCTCCCCACAAACAGTTCAGCCACGTAAGACATTTTTGAGGCTCATTTTGACGAAGGCTGTAGAATAATACTAACGCTGCAGCGGCAGCACCAGTCTGAGACTGACGACGTTTCACATGAAGCAGACGTAGTCAAGACCAACTGCTGGTGAAATCCTGTGCGCGTGGGGGGGAAACCACATGCGGAGGGGGCGGGCCTCTCCCCGGCCACCTCCGGGGGAGAGGGAAGACCAGCACTCATGTGGAGCAATCCAGCTGCCTACGGGAAGTCCCGCCACCGTGCCTGGGTTGTGGGTATGAAGCCTAGTGGGTGCTTGCTGGGATCTCGTGGGGGGAGCCTCTCGGGGGCTTCGTGGAGGCAGTTTTGAGGCTTCTTTGGGGCCGTTTGGGGCCTCGCGGGGCCTCTTGGGGCTTCTTGGGGGCCTCCTGGGCGCCTCTTGGGGCGTGCCTCTTGGGGCCTCCTGGGGGCCTTTTGGGGCGGAAGGCTCGGATTTTCGGTTCGTGTTCTTTCTCTTGGGCCCCTTTGGGTGCCGTCTTGGGGCCCTCTTGGCCCGTCTTGGGCGCCTCCTGGGCCGTCTTGAGGCGCTCTTAGGCCGTCTTGGGGCCCTCTTAGAGGCATGTTGGGCCGTTTTGGGGTGGTCTTCGGGGCCTCTTGGGCCGTCTTGGAGCGTCGGGAAAGCCGAAAAAGCGAGAACGCTAACATCATTCAACGACCGAAGGAAAATCCAGGATTTGCCTCTTCGGGGCCTCATGGGGGGCCTCTTGGAGGCCTCTTGGGGCGTCTTGGAGGCCTGTTGGGCCATCTGGAGGCCATCTTGGGCGTCCTCGAGCGATCGTTCGTCGGCTCGGGGCCCTCTTGGACCCTCTTAAGAGCATCGGAAGCCTTGGAGAGCCCTAGGGAGACGCCATGGCCGCCGAGGGACCCCCCAGGAGTGGGGTGATGCAGTCGGGTGGGTACTACTGGGGCGAGTGGGGGGTCCCGTATAAGATTACAGACACCCTGCCAGGCAGTCCTTGGCATTCATCCACGCCTCAACGTGACGTAGGCGAGGTGGCTGATTGCAGATGGGGGGAGGTGGCAGGAAGGAGGACCGGGGGGGGGCGGCTCTTCCTCCTCGTCCTCGTGCTTGTCTTCCTATTCGTTGTCCTTCTGCTCACCTCGCTGTCCTCCCCGCCATCCACGCTGCCATCCTCTACATCCGCCGCCTTGTCGTCGCCATCGTCCTTGTCTTCTCTCCCCCCTACGAGTCCCATGGGGCAAATCGGCGCTTCCCGTTCTTGTCCGATCAGGTTGTGGATGGGGGGAGGGGGCAGGAAAGAGGACTGGGGTGCGGGTTCGCCGATACTCGTGATAATCTCGAAGCTGTCGTAGACACTCTCGAAGTCGGGATCGGCTATCTCGATGTTAGGTCCGTGGATCTGACTCCTGTGATCTCCAGCAACGCGTGGCATGCAGTGTTGCTCCTGCCCGCTCGTCTGAAACTCGTCAGTAGTGGCACCAGAGAGGTTGCTCAATCTATGAGTGTACTAGTATCTGATATTCGTGAAGATCTCGGGGTCTGCGAGCTCTCTGGAGCCCACAAGTAAATCTAACTACCGCTCAAAGGCGGCTCAAGGGGCCCCTCGAGCATAAACGGTTGCGGATAGGCAGGCAATGCACTCTTGGGTTTACACCCCAAGAAATCTATGTTGCCTATACCGTCCGCCACCAGCTCCAGAGGGGGCCATTCATTTTCATCTCGCTGCCACAGTGGCGCGTCACGCAGCACAGTGCCGTCTGCGGCATCTGGAACCATGTATAAAGACAAATCGAGGTCTCGACCTGCATCCGCGGCCACCGCCGCTCAGGAATCAACCTCGATCCAGTTGTCCGCTGCAGACCTGGTCCCGATTGTCATCTTCACCGTCTGCTGCATCTGGTAGGGAAATCTCCGTGTTCTTGAACGCATCTCTAATGAGGCCGGCGAAGTCTCCCTTGTTCGGCTCGACCCTGGTGAGATCTCTCTCTTTCCGCTTCTTTGCGCTGAGCTGCTCCTCGTCGTCCACTAACGCCCTGCAGCCAGTCCCCATGTAGAGTTCGATAGGCCCATAGGCCGCCGCCTTGATCAGGCTGTTTCTGAGGTTCGCCTCGGAATGACACCACCTCACGATGAGCCCCGTCTCCGCGATGCATCGCTCAAAAGCCATCAGCTCCAGAGCGGTCCTCTTCTCCGCCAGACTCTGCATCTGCACCTGCTTCGCGAGACAGTCGTAGATGCTCTTTGCGTCCACGCACAAGCAGGCTCGAACTTCGCGTAATCCTTCGACCATGGGTCGTAACTGACATCCTGTACTGGCTGTTCCAGCCACCACGTCCGACACGAACCCATTCAGCTCAGCCCACATCATGCGTACCATGAAGAGCTCGTCTTCTGCGACAGTCAGCGCCTGAACTTTAGCCGAGAGTGAGCTTCTTGCCACACGCTGTAGCTTGCCACTTCGATGCGACACCCAGCCGACCGGCGTCCGCTTGCCGTCCAGGATCTCCTCCGGTGCGATGCCTATCACGTAGCCTCCAGTAGATAGTCCGCCAGGCCGGTTGGTCCAGGCAGCGTCGCTCCACCCAACTACCACGGCATTCCCTCGGAACGGCTCGAACGTCAGCTTGTAGTTCAGGTCCAGCTTGATATGCCTGATCAGCTTGTTGATGTCGAACAGCGTCTCGACCGTCGCCGTAGGACCAGTACTCTGAAAGATGGAGCGCTGATCTTGGTATCATGGTAGCGTCTGCGAAGCCACCCACTGTATCTCCCCGAGCGCTCCTCGTAGCAGCGTCATCTCGCGATCCATGCGCTTCTCCCCACGTTGCTTCCTGCGCTCGCTGGGGATGTCGATCTCCTGGATGTTGTCAATGAAGTCCTTCTAGTGGATCGATATCTTCCCACTCGGCTCCTGGTTCACAGTCAGCCCAGTCTGCTTGAAGTTTCCCTCTTCTTAGGGTGCCCAGCGGAACGCCTTCTGCAGCTTCGTCTCTATGTCGAGCCAGCGTCGGCTGCCGTCTGGTGGTGAGGAAGTCGTCCACGTGTGTCCCGACGATCCCCTAGACGCCGATCTCGTCGCTGAAAACCTATACGCATGGATCTGAGACGCATCGCTGACCTCCAAGCTGCTCCATGAGTGTGTCCACACTCTCGTACCACGACTTGGGTGCCTGGCACAGTCCATGTACTGCCTTACGTAGTCGCACTACCGTTCCAATCTGTAGTCCGAGCTCCTCGGCCAGCTCCTTACTCGCAGCTATGAAGACGTGCTTATCCTCTGGCATGCCCTTGCCATACAGGAGCGCCGCCTTGACGTCGCCCTTCTTGAGCCTCCAGGTCTTCATCGCCGCGATCTGGAAAATCAGGTTCCGAGCGCGCCTCGTCATAGTCGGCGATGTCACTGGCTCCTCACCGAGTCGGGGGTCTTGGTATCTAAGAACGACCAGTCGTGCTTTAGCTCGGCTGCCTCCTTTGGCTCCGTCCTTCTTCCAGGTCAGCACCCATCGTGTCTTCAAGATATCTTCCTGTCTTGGCCTTAAGTGCGGAGGTAGCGAGCACGTCGTTCGCGATCCAGTCGCGCACTTCCACGAGCTTCGCCGCCTTCATCTTGTCCTTCAGCTCTGTCGTCATGTTCTTGACGCTCGCCTCCGTGCGACCCTTCTTCAACGCTTTAGACGCGTAACCCTCTGGCTGGCTGGCTGGTTATCTTGTCTATCCCGACCTTGTCTATCGCGTCAAACGCCACCTCGATGAATTCCGTCTCGACGGGTATGGAGATGTCCTCCTCCAGCTCGGTCGCCGCGAACGCGCTCAGGTCGAACTTCTCCCAGTCGAGCTGGTCCCAGTCGGTCTCCTTGTCATTGAGTGAGGGCCCGAACGGTTTCTTCATCCATATCCTCTGAGTCTTCGCGAACAGGTCGTGCTTCTGCTTTCGCTTCCCGTCTCTGGTCTTCCACTTGGGGTTCACGGTGATCGTTCCCTCGTCGGTCTTCACGGGTGTCGGTTCGATCTCTGTATCCACCATCAGGTCGGGTTCGACTTGATCTCCGATCGGAGTGTCTACTGTCGTTCGAGTAGGTTTTCCTGATCTCTCGTTCTGTCCAGTCACCGATGCTGACGGCTCGGATCCTGACCCTTGTCCGGGTGCAGTGGCTTCAGCTCCGTCCGTCTTGTCTTCGATGTTCGGGAACAGGTACGTCTTGCCAGTCCAGCGCCGTCCCAGTGTTCTGGTTGATTTCCCTGGGACGTTCCAGTTGTCATCCTTGAGTGTCTCCATGGAGCCGTCCTCGAACTTGGCCACAGTCACCCGCTCCGTGGTCGTCTTCTCCGGCGAGGCCCGGAATCCTCTCTGTGTGAACGTCGCCAGTCGATGTCGTAGGCGTACTCGTACGTACGCCTTCCGACCCTTGAATTCCTCTTCCATCCAGTCGTCCTCTAGGTTGCTGTCGTCTGGCGCCCTTGCCGTCGCCTCTGGTGCGTAGTTGTCCTCCCGCATGGGCGCATCCTCCTTGTCCACGCTGATAACCTCGCCCTTGTTGAGCGAGTTTAGAGCCTCCACGAAGGTCCATGGCGTGTCCTTCTCGTCCGCGAAGATCTCCTCCCCGCGAGGGTTCGCTGCTCGTAGGTGTTCTGGTGAGCACCTCCAGAGGCGAGCGCTCATCACGACCCATACCTTCCGACCCGGCTGTGCGTTCTCGGCATTGACGCGTACTAGCACAGTCCCAGGTCCAAACCAGCGTCCTCGATCGATTCCGTGCTGCTTACGTGCACCATGTGCAGGCTGGCTTGCTTGCCGCATCTCAAGACGCATACCAGCATGCCTGGTACGAACTTCTGCACTCGTTGGTCTCGTGCTGCGGCTGCTCTCGCTTGCTGCTGCTTGAGGATCCTGTCCCCAATGATCTTGGAGGCCAGCACGCGCTTCCACATGTTCTCTATGTAGCTCTGGTTCGCGCACTTCACCACGTCCAGGTTCTCGTCCTTCGTGAGCGTCCTGGGCCAGTTCTTGTCTCTTCCGAATGCCCACTGCGTCGGGCTATAGCCGTCGACCCTCTCCACGGTGTTGTGAGCCTCCACCGCCTTGTGCACCGCTGTCTCCATGTCCGTGTCGTGATCCTTGTGCAGCGACTTGGCGCAATCGAAGACTGTCTTGATCGCTCGCTCGGCTATGCCGTTCTGCCAGTGTGCCTGTGTCGCGCAAGGGTCCAGCATCACACATTCACTCGATATGTTCTCGAAGAACTCAAGGCTCCTTCTGGTTCGTGACGTAGTGCTGCAGGCATCCAATATCTGTCTGACCAGTGGCTCCGGAAGGCGTCCAGCAGCTCCTTAGCCGTACAGTTCCTGGACTCCTGTCCGGGACAGCTGAAGATCTTCACCGCTAACGTGAGCTTGCTAGCCTCGTCGACGATCATCAGGTGCTTCCGCTCGATGTCGTCATTGCCGACGATCTCCTTCACGTCCATGCCGGCCGCCTGCCAGAGGTCCCTAGCAGGTTGAAGAACAGCTGCTGGCCGTGGCTTCGGCGCCAGGTTCTCGATGCACGAGCTGCACTTGATCTGTTTCTCCACCGCGATGGTCGTAGCAGAAGCTCCGCGACGTCGTAGCACTGATCATCACCCCCATCGGTCGATGTCCCGTATTCTTGTGCAGTCGCATCGCGGCCTTCATCATCTCGTTCTGCTTGAGTGGGTCCAGCTTGTTCCACTCTGCCTGCTCTTCGGCCTTGAGCTCGAGCTCCTTGGTCTCGAAATGTTGACCTTCGTCGCCGTGAGGGCCTTCTCCTCGTCTCTCATGTCGTCGATGTAGCCCACGAGGCTCAGCGGATCCACGATGCACTTCCAGATCAGCTTGGCCAGCTGTGCTGGATATCTCCCAGATCCCGTCGCATCGCGTCCACAGCATTCGTGTCCATGTCCAGCAGGGTCTGGGCATCTCTTACCTCTTGAAGTCGTTGCCAGCTTCGTCCTCCTTGTCCAGACCGTCCAAGGCTTCTAGATCGGGCTGCCCTTTTGGTTGACGACTCCCACTTGGTATCCGTCGAAGTTGGCCTTCTCCATCTCCACCTCGCCGAAGAACATGCTCAATTGCGGGAGCAGCTTCCAGCCATGGCAGTTCCTCGGCCACTCGAAGAGCACGTCCCCGCCATTCGCTCTGATCTGTCGGCCGAGCACGATGAAATTGTCGGCTTTCTTCCTCAGGTTCTTTCGCTTGGCCTCGAGCTTTGTCCAGTGCTGAGTCCCTGCTCTGCCGATGTATCCGTTCTGCAATGCACTGACCGCCGTGCATGGCAAGCTGCCCCATAGGTCTGCTCCACGATTCTAGTCGGCGATCTTGAGCGCGTATTCAATCCTGCCTGCTTGCTGAGGTCGGCGTCCTTCCTGGTGATTCGGACGTTCTTGGCGTCGTTACTCTCGCGTGCTACCTGGCCCAGCTGACTGTCCTCCTTGGTACAGAATTCTATCAGCGCCTTTGTGTACAGGTCGGTCGCATTATTCACGTCCTTCACCTGATCCACCACCCAAGTGTTGTCCATCATGTTGATGTCCTCCTTCGGGTACTCCACGTCGACACCGAACGTGACGACGTCATGCCCAACGTTCCTGACGCCGGACAGCTGATCGACTAGACACTCTCCGGATCCCCGCCTTGCGGCGAGATCCTCGGCGTCCGCCTCCTGTCCTGCTTGTCGGCTGGCCTCTTGGTGCTGTCCCTCATCATGAACAGCTCCTCGGCCGCTCGCGAGGTCTTCGTCTCGACCCAGGGCGTCTCCTTCCCGTCGGAGGTACCCTCCTTCTCGAACGAGTCGTCCGAGTTCACCTCTTCTGCCTTCGGCCTCGGTGACTCCTGTGAGGTCTTCTGCTTGGTGATCTCCTCGAGCTTGATCTTGCCGACCTTCGGGCCCAGATGCCCCTGCTGTCGAAACTCCCCCGATGCCCCGACCTTCGGGACATAGAGCATCACCAGGTCGCACCTCACGCACTTGTAACTCTCCTTGTACTGGTTCGCGTGCCTCGCCACAGGATTCGTCGTGTCGTGGCCTCCTCGGCATGGCTTCCCGAGATACCGAGCATCTCTCTCGTCGGTACCCTCGATTCGAGCCGCGGGTCCCTCCTGTCGATCGTCATCCACTCGCCGATCGTCCTGCCGCCACATTTCGTCCAGCTGCTTGTCGAAGCTCCTGCTGGTGAGGTCGGCCGAGCGCCAGCGCCCGTCCGGCCCTTGCTGCCACCGCCGCTGCCCTCGGACTTGGGGTTGCGGCTCGGTATTGGCGTCTCCGCAGCCGCGGCAGCTGCTCCCGGCATCCTGGGTGTTGCCGCAGAGCTGCTCGGAAATCACCCTGAATTTATGGTTTGAGTTAGATCGTCGACCACGGCCATACACGTTATCGGGGACCCTCGGGATCTCGGGGACCTTCGACTTTTCTGATAGCACCTCGGTGGATTTTGGCTCGCTCGTCGTAGCAGTGGTTTCGAACCTCCTCGAACCACTAGCAGACTCCTTGCCGTCCTCCTCCTTCGACCCCGTCAGACTCGTCGTGACCCCCCCGGTCGAATCGAAGTCGCTCGCCCTGTCGATGTCCTCTGGAATCGTGTCGCAGTACTCGCTGTCATCGGTCGAGCTGTCAATCGTGTCGGACTCTGTGTATGTTCAGACTCCAGAGGCCTTTTGGTGGTCACCTCGGGCCCTCCAGCTAGCACTGTTTCCTTTATGGTAGCTGGTGCTCACACTTCTCGGTCCCTTCCCCTGCTCTCACGGATGTCGTGGAATGACGTATCCAGTGACGTGATGATGGCTTTACGATTTTCCATCACCGCAGAACGAGGGGCGATGTCCCTATTCAGCGTCGGCTGGCTGACCGGCCCATCCAGCGGTCTGTCCGCTGAACGCCTGGTGCAGGCTCTCGAGCTTCTGCCGGAAGTCCTGCGCCTCCTGCTTCGTCATCTTCTGGACGTAGAGGTCCCGAGTCATGTCGATGCACAGATGACCGGTCGAGATCCTCTTGAGCTTGACCAGCTTGTCCACCGTTAGCTTCTCGAGGCAGGAGATTCCAGTGGCAAGATCGATGATGGCCCCTGAGCGCCTCAGGAAATCCACAGATCCCAGCAGCGGCACGTAACGATTGTTCTTCGTGTTCAGAGCGTACCCAGCGACTGTCCCGAGCTGCCCGTTCGCTTGGAGAGGTAGTGCATGTAGCCCTGCTCGAGCACATTCGCGAATCCGAAGTTCGGCCGATCTGTCACATCGACTGTCACGCCGCAGGTGTCCATGCCTGCGGCCTTCTGCTTCTCGATGATCTGCTCCAGCGCCCTGATAGATCCGAACGTCTTGGTCGCGCCACAGTCCATCACCATGCAGCCTGCTGTCTCGTCCTCGAGTCCGGCCAGCGCGTGCTCGACCGTGCCACTCTACGTCGCATGGTAGGCTGTCTCGAACAATGTGAACGCCAGCTCCGTCGCGTCCTCGTCCTTCGGCACCCTCTCGCTGATCAGCTCGATCTCGTAGTCTGGGATGTCGTCCCAGATGCCGAAGTTGAACGCCATGGCGCCGATCTGCTGCACCGTGTCCTTCGGCGTCCCGCCCTGGTCCTCCTCCTTGATGCGCGAGCAGTTCTCGCGGTTGTGCGGTCCGCCACAGATGAAGCATGGACCTTGTCCCCTGCCACCTGCTGGTCGATCCTTGCCACGGGCCTTGCCTTTCTGATAGAATCCACGGCACGATCACGGCCAGTGCCTCCTCTGCCTCGGCGCGGTCGTCCTCGTCCACGTCTTCGAGGTCCAGCTCGTCGTTGTCCTCGTCCGTCTCATCCTCGTTGCCGATAGCACTCCTGTACGCTCTTCAGTGTTCAGTCCAGCCCGGTGCAAGGGCAGCCATCCAGCCATGACCGACGGGATGAGGGTCTCTCTGAGCTCAGTTGCAACCTCCTTCAGGGCTTTGATGGCCACGTCGCCTTCGTCCAGGTCAAACCTCGCCATCAGTGATCACAAAGCCTCCGTAATTAGCCCTGCGTCACCTTCCTGTGTGTTCTCAGCGACGGTGACGCCGATGCTTGAGGCCACTCCCGCTGCGAGCCCGACTGTCCTCCTGGAGAGCTGCTCCACCAGTTGCTGCCGCGCCACCAGCTTCCTCTCCAGTTCTCGTCCTTCAGGAGGGAAAAAGCACACAGACACAATTAATCGTCGACTCCCAGGAAAATATGGGATGGGAAAATATGGGAAGCGGGGGGGAAGACGAAAACCCATGAAATATGGGAACAAATGGGGAATCCTGTTATTTTTGTGTGTTTATTTGTGTGCCCCAGGGCCCCTTCAGTCCTTCCAGCTCTTCGCATCGTCATCGTCGTCGCCCTGGATGCTGATCTCCTCCTTCACGGACTCCAGCCTCTCCTCGGGTCTGGACTGCCTCTGCAGCTTCAGCTCGCAGCTCGGGTCCTTCTCCTCGACTCTCCTGAAGCTCTGGTCTAGCTTGTCGGCGACGATCCGGCTCCGCTGGGTGCAGGCCTTCATCCTTTCGTTGTTCCTGCGCCGCAGTGTGAAGAGGTACTTCTTGAGGTACTTGGCCGCTTCTGGGATGGGTTCGTCCATGAGAGTCTCGTCG